AGGCTTTGCACTGCCTCCCCACTTCCTCCTGGATGACGCAGGATGCCCAGAGCCCCATGGTCCAGTTCTCCATCTCGTTCAGTTCCAGGTTGAGGTTCTTCCAGTGGGGCAAGTAGTTTGTGAGGCAGGCTAACACCCATCCCAGCAGGGATAACGGAAGCGCAGCCCACTGCACGGCCGTCCGGAAAGCTAAGCCCATGAGAACGTCTTGTGAGCCAGGGCCAGCCCCGACGACGCCTGCCCCGAGCTTGCAGTAAAGTGTGACACTTCTCACTTGCAGAGCTCAGACATGCTTTTGCATTGTGTGTCTAGGAGGACGCCTGCCAGGTTTACCATTGTTTGATTCCATGCTGAAAAGGTTTCAGGAGAGGACAGGGAAACGCCGCTACAAACCAGTAATGCTAAGGTGTGGCCTGGAGCCGTGTTTGTGTCCTGTGGGCTGAAGTTTGTTCCAGAGCACTTTGTCAGGGAACCCCTGAGGTCAAGTTGTGCTAATCCTTCCTTTGTGAAGCTCTACCTGGCTTTCACATTCCCGAGGCTCCTAACAAGCCGGAGAATTAAGTCTGAATGTAAAAAATGTTTAATTGTAGGTTTGGGTTCAGCTCCTCCTGCTTTGTGCTGCGCTAATTACACATGTCAGATTTTCATCTCTTAAAGAGTTTCAGGTTTCAGTGCGTGTGGTATGATAATACTGGGTGTTCCCATCTTTGCAAAAAAGAAAAAAAAAAGGTTCAGAGAGAAGTATTTCTTAACCAAATAAATCAATCTTATCAGGAATCCCTCTAGACTTGAAGTCAGGCCTGTTTTGAAAAGTCTCTTTGGCTGCACATATTCCAGAGCGCATGAAACAATGCTGAAGTGAGTGTCGGGTCTCACTTATCTGCATGCCTTTGTGTTGGGCCCCCTCACGTGCATAAGCCATAAATGGTTGTCAGGCTTTGAGAATGTGAATTTGGGGGAATTTTTCTTTTCTTTTCTTTTTGTTTTCTTTTTGCTTCTTCTTTGCTGAAAATAGCTTCCTGGGCTGTAGGAAAAACAACCAAGAGGGCCTTTGGGTCAAAATCAACATTGTTGCTCTCCGCTCCACTGTCGACCCCCACGTTGGTCATTTTTCACTGAACACAGAAGTTTTCCTTCTGACTAATGAACTGATACTCTAAATAACAAGAAAACAATTCCTCTGGGATTTTTTTTTTCTTCCTTTTTAAACTTTGAGTAGAGAGGTGAGGGCAGAGGTTGGTGGCTACCACTTAAAAATCGCCAAGGCCCACAAGGTTCTGGTGGTCCATCCAGAACATCCAGGAACATCCAGCTTCCTGAAGTCCTGGGAGAGTTCCGCCGTGTCCTGGGAACATCTCAGCAGGAGCAGAAACCCTGGATGATGTCTGGCCACTGGCTTTAGCCTGTGGCTCTCCTAGTGCTTGAAAGAGTGCAGACTGTTACTTTCTTTGGGAAGTGGACAGTAATTATTCTTTCCCACTACAAACAGCGACACAGTTTTCCCACAAAGTGAATACGTCAGAGCACTGGGCTGACTATACTGGTCAATTGCCAGCACACGCTGGATTAAATAACCAAATCAATGACATTTTTCCTCACATAGCTACATGACGTCATCATAATTGCCTTATAGACTTCCTTTCATCCTTCAGGTTTGAGAGGCAAACCTCTTGTATAGCCCAAAAGAAAAAACAGTTATTGAATTAAAAAAAAAGTGAGCAGCACAGTTTAGTTACATACAGAGACCTTTAGTCAGCAGCTGAAGGACGTGACTCTGCCCTGCTGGCGGCGGCTTACACTTCAGGCTGTGCACTTCCGTTTTCCAGGCATGAACCATGGTCTCGAAATCCTGCCACTGCATAGTGGCCGGAGGCTGGGGGAGCTGGGCTCGAGCAGGCTGCACAGTGCAGCAGACAGCCCCCTAGTACAAGACAGAAGCCAGCAAACCAGCCCAGGAAGAGGGCCTCCCCGAACTCCCACCTGGGCACGATCTC